CTGGGCGCACTCACTGCTCTCACACGGCAGTAAGTCCGTATACTTAGTTGCTACAAATGCTTTGGCAGACACGCGTTTAGCGTTCAAACGCTTGCGTTTGAACGTAAACGCCAAACGCACCCAAAAACGCAAACGCTCTCTGGGATTTTTTTCGGGCTGCCCCACAAAAAAAACACGAGATAGTCGTTGGAGAATGTCATTGAGGATAGGTGAGTTACATGACATATGAGGATGCTGCCTTAAAAGTTAAGCATGGTTCTTTTTTATGAGACAAAATGCTTGCTGGTTGAACCCCCATGTTTCCCCCCTCCCCCACAAGAATCTTGAACCCCTGCCCGGGTAAAAAATTTACCCTTGCCCGGGCAAGCGTTTGCCTAGCGTTCACATACACACTGCCAAGCGTTTTGCGTTCAAACGCTAGCGTTTAGATGCTAGCGTTCAAACGCCAAACACGTTTGTAGCAACTAAGCCCGCATATATTACGGAGAGCGGGGGGGTGCGGGAGCCGGTAGAGATTGGGAGCGAAAGGTAGCGAGGTAGGGCGAGAGCGGTAAAGAATGCGATAGATCGAGAGTAGGGGAGTGGGAAAGAGTGGGGGTGGTGAAAGAATGTGAGAGAAGGGGAGCGAGGGAGAAGCGGAGTGGGAGAGAATAGGAGAGGAAAGGGGATTGTGGGAGAGAGGTGAGACTGGAGTGAGGCACGTAGTGGACAGCATGGCTACTCGCTAGGTGGGTGGCTGGACAGAGGGGGCGGTAAAGGTCAGTGGAGGCGGAGGAGGGAGAGGGTGAGTGGGAGGGTGCTCACAATCGAGGAAGGGTGGGTTGTTGTGAAGGTGAGAGATGTGCAGATGAGATGTTTGAAGAGAGGAGGTAGGTTTAGGAGTGTGCGTACACTGAATTCCGTGCTACCTTTGCGGAGCTTTCAAACACCACAACTTGCATTGCTAGGGATATGTGGGGTTCTTCCATGCCACTTCCAGCATTGCTCACTCAGTGTCCTGGTGCCCTCCGAGCTCTCAGTCTAACCCTGATATGCCCTTCCATCCTGCTCACTCATCACCCTACTTACGTCCTCTCCTTTATATCGCAAACCGCCCCGATAGCGCGCATCAATGATTTCCATTTCCCCCCCGAACGACCGCCACTCCCCCTTACGGCAGAACCACATCCTCCAGAGTTGCGCGCATGGAGAGCGGCAAGGAGCAAAGGAGGCAGGAGGAAGGTGCCCCAGCAGCGCCTAGTGTAGTGGCAAAGGCTCTCCACGAGGGTTATGTCAAGCGTAAGATCACGCTGAGCAAGGACCTGACAATGCCATGGGCCGTTTTACGCTGTGGACTTGCAAGCAAGCTGGGGGGGTGGCAAGGTGCCACGAGACAGCGATCTGCTTCTGCTGCTCATTGAGGCCGCACCGTTGTTGGTCAACCAGCTCGTGGCAGCGGCCGCATCTGCGGGTATGTACTCCATGTAGAACACGTGATCCGCAAATGTGGCATCCACATGGAATTGCACCTCACCACCCTCCCACTGGAAATATTGTGTTGTAGAGCCTTGCATCCAAACCCTCGACTGTCAGTTCGTTCTACCCTCTTTTCGCCTCGATTCGGTGGCATTAATATGCAATTGTCGCATTTCCTATGTTACACTCAACGATCTTCAAAGGTACTCGTGGCACGGGTATTAGGGAAGCCTTTGACAACGGGAAGGACGCGCATGCTAAGCTGGCACGCCAGAAGAAGAAAGGGCAGGGGCTGCTCACCGTTGCGGAGCTAAGGTCCCTTGCCGCAACGCCAATCACCGGGTTGGTCTACAGTTTTGTTCCCTCCGAGGATGAGCCGCCAGCAGAGGCAGCGGGTTTCCAGTGGGGCGGCCCACGACGGGGGGCCGGCTATCAGGCACTTCTGGCCACAGGTAACATCCTCGATGGCATTCGAGTGTCACTGGAATATACATGGTTGACACCCGGGCTTGACGAAACTTGCATGTCTCACCCCTTGTCCAATGTCTCGTCGTCGCTGGGCCAGTCAAACATACCTCAAACCTGGCTGCCACGACGCCTCTTGTGCGTCGCCTCCTCAACCCTTGTCCTGCCCATTTTGAACGTTTATTCCTAATGCGCCCCAACCTCCTACGCAATCAGTTCTTGATATGCCTGTTTTCTCCCAGGACCACGCTCGCTACATACTGCGGCAGTGGCGCGCTGTGGCCGTAGTCGTCCACGGCTCACCACCAAGACAGGAGTGCTGCGTGTATCACAAACAGCACCAGCACGTGGGGGGCGCTCTGTAGAGCATATCGAGGACCATGCAGCAGGGGACGACGACTCTATGGCCACCGAGCGGAGGAGGGGTGCACAACCTGCAGGTCGCGGTGGTTCAGCAACGGGAGGCGATACAGCAGTCAGTGGGCTGCAGGCGGGTGCCGGGTTATGTGGTGTTGATAGCACTGGCCACGCAGCAACCGGGCTGCCATGTCTTGGTGTTCCACACACGCCAGTGGGGTGCGTGCGGGACGTGCCAATGGCCGAAGAGCAGCCAAGAGAAGCGCCCTCCGCGGAGTGTGGGAGGTAAGCGGCCCGTCAAGGTCATGCATAGCTTGTTGAGTCCCGTTTTCCTGGTGAGTGTTAGAAAAAAACTAGCCCATTCTAATGGCTTGCCGTGCCCGCCTCCTCCACTGTTGTGGACATACAGGACCGTCCAATGCACTGATGGACGAGTGGAGTTCGGCTGTGGGGTCCCGCAAGGATGGCCGGCCTCACCAACCCTCACTGAGGCCGGTGAGGGGATGGTGTGCTATCTGGACACGACATGGTTCATTCGTCTGATGCTACTATTCTCACTTCAATGCACAGCGTGTATGTTATGTGGGGGGTCCATGTGGTTGCAAACATGGAAAAGGTCTCTGGGGGCCTTTGGCTTGCTATGGAGGTGCTTGAGGTGCAAGCGAACTGAGGTGTGGTGGTCATGCAACCGTGAAGCTGACGAAGGCATGGCAACCAAGAAAGGTCCCAAAATGCCATGGCTCACGAAAACTGCCCTAGGCGCCTACGCGATAAGTGGTCTAGGGTATGGCGCGATGTGGTCTGTCGCACGCAACATCGGGCTTGGGGTGCCTGCAGCGAGGACATACTATAAGTACATGGATGGCCCTCTCGGTTTGTGGGCTAGTATTGTCCGGCAGAGTGAGGTGTCAATGGCGAAGGTCAGGGATTTGGTCATGTCGAGAGGGGGGCAAAAAGTGTGGATAACTGCAGATGGAAGATGGTCACAGTCGAGGGAAGGTGAATGGTGTACGGTGTCACTGATGGATCGTCAGTCGCGGAAGGTATTGCATTGCGTGACTATTAACAAATGGCAGCAAGGTATCTCATCGACTACAATGGAGAGGGTGGCATTTGAACAGGCAATGCGGGAGCTGACAGCCTTGGGTTTCACTGTGCATGGTGTCATTACGGATGGGGGCACTAGTTTCAAGACGGTACTAGCCAAGTTGGGGTTAGAACACCAGCAGGACGTGTGGCATATGGCTCGGAGCCTGGTCAAGGCATTGCTAAGAGAGCTGATTGACACTCGAAAAGACAAGGCAATGACCGTGGAGGAGGTAAAAACCATCGAGGATCTTTGGCACATCAAGAAGTCCAAAATGATCCTCTGGTTGGAGAAAAAGGGTCAGAAGGGCAGATTGACGGTTGCGTCAACTAGGGAGACGCTCGTCAGGGAAGTTTGTCGACACCACGCCAAAATATTATACGCCCACTGTGACGCAGGGGATGCGTCTTACAAGTACCCAGAGCTGCGGCAAGTTATAGTCCGGATGGCAGGGAGTGCCGCCTCACAGGACCATGTCGCTGAGGCACTACGCTCCCTTGATGAGAGTTCACAGGGAGGGGGGGTGGATGCAGGGGCAGAGGCGGTGACAGGGGCGGGGGCACAAGCAGGGGCGGAGGCAGTGGGGGAGGAGGGTGACGGCGCCATGCGGTTTGCAGACGTGGCTCGAATGTTCGCCTGGGACCCGCATCCCAGGAATGGCATACGCCCGACATCGTACGCCTCACTGCTGCTTGCGCAAGAGGTTGCCGGGCACCACGATACAGTGGCTGCTGCTCGGGATTCCAACGAAGCCATGACTACAGAGGGTATGTGATTTTTATCTGTATTTGATTATATGGATGGCCGCTACGGCGTGGTGCCATACATTGGCACATCAATCGTGTCCTCAGTCTTGGTAGGGTTGTGAAATGGTCCATGCCATATATTGCCAGACCATAATTGCTTGCTATGGTGCATGCACTGTTGTCACCAAGATGACCCACAATTTATGAGATGCCTCTACCCTTGCCAACCCCTGCGGTATTGCGTGGTGTCCTCTACATAGAGGAGACTGACGCGGCACGTGTCGAGATTGGAGATGTGCGGGCGCGAGGATGGTGGCACAGCGTGGATGGTGACGTAGATCCCTATGCACCAACCCCTAGCACGAGCGCACCATCCGCCGGGCCTACAGCGGAGGGGGGCCGCCGCTGGGGTCGAAGGGGGAAGCGCAAGCGTCGTGCAATGGCGAATACGACACAGCCAGGCGCGGAACAGAGTGGCGCGTCGGGGGTGGATGAAGTCGTTGAAGAGGTGGGGATCGCCCAGCGGTTCAGCATCCATTTCCACCATGTCATGGTACGGTGTGCCACGCTCGCTGCCGAGGGCAGGCCCATGACTGCGGCCGAAGTGGCTTTGGAGTTGGCTATAGCGGCAGAGCACTGGGCCGGGGATCACTCCATGTGTGCTCGCCATGGCATTGTGCCCACATGCGTGGCCGATGCGTGGGGCCCAGAGTGTGCCGTGTATTTGCCTGACAGCACGACACAGAAGGCGTTTAGGGCGTGGCTACTGAAGCACTGCAGTGAGGAGAAGATGCGGCCTTTTGTACTTGGCGCATGCAGTTGGCTGAATGAGTCATTCCACTCCGTAATTTGCAAGTACGCCCCGAAACGCATCCGTTTCCGCGGGAGCATGGAGGTGAGAATTGCTCTCGCTATCATCCACTGGAACAACACCGTGGAGCATCTGGTCTTACGGCACATTGTGAGGCATCGCCGTGCAACACGCGTGCGCCGTGGGAAGAGGAGCCGTGTGCTTGGGCCGATGAACTGGCAGTGGTGTGACGACATTTTCAATGATTGGCGCCGGGTGGCTGCACAGGCACCTTGAGGACCCGCCACCCAATCCCGGTAGTGGCTTGCGCGCTTAACAGTGGGTGTGTGTGCACTTCCCCCCTGAATTTTTATTTTTTTCCTCCACAAGATCATTCCCTTCACGTAACCCCTAATGTGTTTTCCCCACTCTTGCCATGATCTCCCCCCTTTCTCTCCACTCTCTGCCCACACTTTTCAACCCCTTCCACTCTCCCTCACTCTCTCCAACTGACCCCACTCTCTCCTCCACCCTCTTCTCCACCCTCTGCTCTTTCCCCTCTTTGTTCACTCTCTCCCCGCTCTCTCTCTCCCTTAATTACATGCTTCCCATCTTTTTGTCCATATATAATTTTGATGCCTCTCTGCCTTTTATTAAAATCTTGTCATGGTCTTCCCACTATCTCCCCACTTTATGCCCACTTTCTTTAACCCCTAATATGTTTTCAGTCGTCTTCTTCCCAAACATTGACACGCAGGGTTGGTGCGCCGCTCTGTTCGAAACCCGTTTGTTCCACCCCGTAAGCAGCCGCGACGCTTCCAAGGCTGACACAATACGGTACGGTACTTGCATGTTAATCGGAGCCCCACGCTCGCTCGATTTCCACTCATCCCCGCTCTTGTTTTGTCCCGCCAGCCCCTTTATCTCCTCGCTTCTCCCTTTTCCCCAACATGTTATTGCGCATGCTGTGCACCAATGATGCCCACCAGCAGGCAAAGATTGATCGGGGGCGTTCACCATGCGGATGCGAGCCCAGTGCGGAGGGCCAGAGTGCATGCCCGGATGGGTGTTGGGGGGAGTTACATGTTCGCCGGTTGCATACGGGGGTACATAGCAGGACATTGGGGACACGACAGTTTTGTTGCCAAACGTTTCCGAAATCCTTAGTTGACAGAGCCGCGGCACTCGTTTGCATGCTATACCCGAGCATTTTGAACCCTGACTTCTTCGTGCTACAGCAGCAGGTTGCTTTTCCTATAAACCCTATCCAACAAACCAGGGCTTGAGTCTATGTAACTTTACATCCCGTCCTTCTAATTGGTTGCATATGCTAATATCCCTCACACAATTCATAACGCAGTGATTGTTAGATATAGCCTCCGGCTGTTGCTTTCACTAGCATTGGGAGCCACAGCTTCTTCGAGTGTTGCCCTACTGGCGCACCACTAACCGGTTGCAGGTGCTAACAAACCCCGCCACTCCGTGGCTGCAAAGTTTATATCATCGACAGCAGACCAACGGTGCACAAAATAGTCCACTTCCTCAGGGGTACCGTGCTCGTACCCCTCAACACCATCCTCAGGGTACAGTGATCCGATCACCATATAGATCAGCCAAGGCAGTTCAACCCTATCGTATCGATGGTCACCTAGGAGGCGCGAGTAGGTGACGTAACATCGGAAACGGTGGTGCTTCGGTTGCAACGGTACTCCATTGCAGCTCTCAGGGGTGTTTCCCCCACAACACACACGAATCATGTTTTCCCACGGAGAGTCGCCGATGACCGTCTCATTCTCACTCCTTAGCCCAGCCAATTGCTGCCCAACTCTGTAACAAAGTTTTTGCTTTGGATATTCCCTCCCAAAGGCGTCCGGCGACCAGCACCATAGCGGATGGTGCACCGTTGGGACGAGTCCGGTGCGCCTCCGCACCCGTCTTGACCCGGATGCAGCGACTGCAGGAGACACACACGCATAGAGGACAAAGAGAGCAGAGGGCGCCAGAGAGACTTAGGGGGCACAGTTTGACATGTGTGGATTCTATCCCTCCTTTTCCCATTCCCCCGGCCATCCTCTCCCCTTCCCCCTGCCCTGCTCTCCCTTTTCCCCTGCCCTCCACTCCCATTTCCCCTGCCCTTCTCTCCATTTCCCCCTGCCCTTCTCTCCCTTTTCCCCTGCCCTCCACTCCCTTTTCCCCTGCCCTCCTCTCCCTTTCCCCCTGCCCTCCTCTCCCTTTCCCCCTGCCCTCCTCTCCATTTCCTCATGCCCTCTTCTCCCTTTCCCCCTGCCCTTCTATCCCTTTCCCCCTGCCCTCCTCTCCCTTTCTCCCTGCCATCCTCTCCCCTTCCCCCTGCCCTCCTCTCCCTTTGCCCATGCCCTCCTCTCCCTTTCCCACCTGCCCTTCTCTCTCTTTCCCCCTGCCCTTCTCTCCGTTTCCCCCTGCCCTTCTCTCCGTTTCCCCCTGCCCCCCTCCATTTCCCCCTGCCCTGCTCTCCATTTCTCCCTGCCCTCCTAAACCCTTCCCCCTCCCCTTCCTCTCCCTTTCCCCCTGCCCTCCTCCCTTTCCCCCTGCCCTCCACTTCCTTTCTCCCTGCCATCCTCTCCCTTCCCCTGCCCTCCGCTCCATTTCCCCTCCCCTCCTCTCCCTTTCCCCCTGCCCTCCTCTCCCTTTCCCCTGCCCTCCACTCCCTTCTCCCTGCCCTCCTCTCCATTTCCCCCTGCCCTCCTCTGCATTTCTCCCTGCCCTCCAAAACCCCTTCCCCTCCCCTTCCTCTCCCTTCCCCCTGCCCTGCTCTCCCTTTCCCCCTGCCCTCCTCTCCCTTTCCCCCTGCCCTTCTCTCCCTTTCTCCGTGCCCTCCTCTCCCTTTCCCCCCCCTCCTCTCCCTTTCCCCTGCCCGCCTCTCCCTTTCCCCTGCCTTCCTCTCCCTTTCCCCCTGCCCTTCTCTCCGTTTCCCCTGCCCTCCTCTCCATTTCCCCCTGCCCTCCTAAACCCCTTCCCCTCCCCTTCCTCTCCCTTCCCCCTGCCCTGCTCTCCCTTTCCCCTGCCCTCCTCTCCCTTTCCCCCTGCCCTTCTCTCCCTTTCCCCGTGCCCTCCTCTCCCTTTCCCCCTGCCCTCCTCTCCCTTTCCCCCTGGCCTTCTTTCCATTTCCCTCTGCCCTGCTCTCCCTTTCCCCCTGCCCTCCTCTCCCTTTCCCCCTGCCCTTCTCTCCCTTTCCCCTGCCCTTCTCTCCCTATCCCCCTGCCCTCCTCTCCCTTTCCCCTGCCCTCCACTCCCTTTCTCCCTGCCATCCTCTCCCCTTACCCCTGCCCTCCTCTCCATTTCCCCCTCCCTCCTCGCCCTTTCCCCCTCCCCTTCTCTCCCTTTACCCCTGCCCTCCTCTCCCTTTCCTCCTGCCCTTTTCTCCCTTTCTCCCTGCCCTTCTCTCCCTTTCCCCCTGCCCTTCTCTCCCTCTCCCCTGCCCTTCTCTCCCTTTCCCCGTGCCCTCCTCTCCCTTTCCCCTGCCCTCCTCTCCCTTTCCTCCTGCCCTTCTCTCCCTTTCCCCTGCCCTTCTCTCCCTTTCCCCCTGCCCTCCTCTCCCTTTCCTCCTGCCCTTCTCTCCCTTTCCTCCTGCCCTTCTCTCCCTCCTTCCCCTGCCCGCCTCTCTCCTTTCCCCCTCGCCTGCCTTCCTCTCCCTTTCCCCCTGCCCTTCTCTCCGTTTCCCCTGCCCTCCTCTCCATTTCCCCTGCCCTCCTCTCCATTTCTCCCTGCCCTCCTAAACCCCTCCCCCTCCCCTTCCTCTCCCTTCCCCCTGCCCTCCTCTCCCTTTCCCCTGCCCTCCTCTCCCTTTCCCCTGCCCTCCTCTCCATTTCCCCCCCCTCCTCGCCCTTTCCCACTGCCCTTCTCTCCCTTTCCCCCTGCCCTCCTCTCCCTTTCCCTCTGCCCTCCTCTCCCTTTCCCCGTGCCCTCCTCTCCCTTTCCCCCTCCCTCCTCTCCCTTTCCCCCTGGCCTCCTCTCCATTTCCTCCTGCCCTTCTCTCCCCTTTCCCACTGCCCTTCTCTCCCTTTCCCCCTGCCCGCCTCTCCTTTTCCTCCTGCCCTTCTCTCCCTTTCCCCCTGCGCTTCTCTCCCTTTCCCCCTGCCCTTCTCTCCCTTTCCCCCTGCCCTTCTCTCCCTTTGGCCGTGCCCTCTTCTCCCTTTCCCCTGCCCTTCTCTCCCCCTTTCCCCCTGCCCTCCTCTCCATTTCCCCCTCCCCTCCTCGCCCTTTCCCCTCCCCTTCTCTCCCTATACCCCTGCCCTCCTCTCCCTTTCCTCCTGCCCTTTTCTCCCTTTCTCCCTGCCCTTCTCTCCCTTTCCCCTGCCCTTCTCTCCCTTTCCCCCTGCCCTCCTCTCCCTTTCCTCCTGCCCTTCTCTCCCTTTCCTCCTGCCTTCTCTCCCTTTCCCCCTGCCCGCCTCTCCCTTTCCCCCTGCCTTCCTCTCCTTTCCCCTGCCCTTCTCTCCGTTTCCCCCTGCCCTCCTCTCCATTTCCCCCTGCCCTCCTCTCCATTTCTCCCTGCCCTCCTAAACCCTCCCCCTCCCCTTCCTCTCCCTTCCCCCTGCCCTCCTCTCCCTTTCCCCCTGCCCTCCACTCCCTTTCTCCCTGCCATCCTCTCCCCTTCCCCCTGCCCTCCTCTCCATTTCCCCTCCCCTCCTCGCCCTTTCCCACTGCCCTTCTCTCCCTTTCCCCCTGCCCTCCTCTCCCTTTCCCTCTGCCCTCCTCTCCTTTTCCCCGTGCCCTCCTCTCCCTTTCCCCCTCCTCTCCTCTCCCTTTCCCCCTGCCCTCCTCTCCATTTCCTCCTGCCCTTCTCTCCCCTTTCCCCCTGCCCTTCTCTCCCTTTCCCCCTGCCCTTCTCTCCCTTTCCCCCTTCCCTTCTCTCCTTTTCCCCCTGCCCTTCTCTCCCTTTCCCCGTGCCCTCCTCTCCCTTTCCCCCTGCCCTTCTCTCCCTCTCCCCTGCCCTTCTCTCCCTTTCCCCCTCCCCTCCTCTCCCTTTCCCCCTGCCCTCCTCTCCCTTTCCTCCTGCCCTTCTCTCCCTTTCCCCCTGCCCTTCTCCCCTTTCCCCCTGCCCTCCTCTCCCTTTCCTCCTGCCCTTCTCTCCCTTTCCCCGTGCCCTCCTCTCCCTTTCCCCCTCCCCCCTCTCCCTTTCCTCCTGCCCTTCTCTCCCTTTCCCCGTGCCCTTCTCTCCCTTTCCCCCTGCCCTCCTCTCCCTTTCCTCCTGCCCTTCTCTCCCTTTCCTCCTGCCCTCCTCTCCCTTTCCCCTCCCCTTCTCTCCCTTTCCCCCTGCCCTCCTCTCCCTTTCCTCCTGCCCTTCTCTCCCTTTCCCCTGCCCTTCTCTCCCTTTCCCCCTGCCCTTCTCTCCCTCTCCCCCTGCCCTTTTCTCCCTTTCCCCGTGCCCTCCTCTCCCTTTCCCCCTCCCCTCCTCTCCCTTTCCCCCTCCCCTCCTCTCCCTTTCCTCCTGCCCTTCTCTCCCTTTCCCCCTGCCCTTCTCTCCCTTTCCCCTGCCCTTCTCTCCCTTTCCTCCTGCCCTTCTCTCCCTTTCCCCGTGCCCTCCTCTCCCTTTCCCCCTCCCCTCCTCTCCCTTTCCTCCTGCCCTTCTCTCCCTTTCCCCCTGCCCTTCTCTCCCTTTCCCCCTGCCCTCCTCTCCCTTTCCTCCTGCCCTTCTCTCCCTTTCCCCCTGCCCTTCTCTCCCTTTCCCCCTGCCCTTCTCTCCCTCTCCCCTGCCCTTCTCTCCCTTTCCCCGTGCCCTCCTCTCCCTTTCCCCCTCCCCTCCTCTCCCTTTCCCCTCCCCTACTCTCCCTTTCTTCTGCCCTTCTCTCCCTTTCCCCTGCCCTTCTCTCCCTTTCCCCCTGCCCTCCTCTCCCTTTCCTCCTGCCCTTCTCTCCCTTTCCCCGTGCCCTCCTCTCCCTTTCCCCTCCCCTCCTCTCCCTTTCCCCTCCCTCCTCTCCCTTTCCTCCTGCCCTTCTCTCCCTTTCCCCCTGCCCTTCTCTCCCTTTCCCCCTGCCCTCCTCTCCCTTTCCTCCTGCCCTTCTCTCCCTTTCCCCCTGCCCTTCTCTCCTTTTCCCCCTGCCCCTCTCTCCCTTTCCCCTGCCCTCCTCTCCCTTTCCCCCTGCCCTCCTCTCAGTTTAACCCCCTCTTCCCGCGCTCTTTGCCGTATCCACCCCTCTTTTTCCTCCGGGACTCCTCTTGCGGGATGTGCTTACTGGCTGGCGGGTGGGGAGGCTGGAGCTCCCGCGCCATATCAAGATTAGGTTTAGTCGGCGGCGAGCAACGAGCCCACAGCGCGTGGCTCGAGGTGCGAGGCGCGTGGTCTCTCGATTCCGCGTCTTGCGCGGGGACCTCGTTTTCTTTGCGCCTCGGTCAAAGGGCAGCTTAGCGCCGAGCTCGTCTGCACGCGTGCCGCATGCGATGGCTAGCGCGACGAGGCGCAGGACGTTCAACGGACGAAAGAGCTCGAAAAGGTGATGCGCGAGTTGCAGTCGAAGATTCGATGACCCGGCACCCCGAAAAATCACACGTGTAGTTGGTGTTTTTCGGACATGGCCGCCCCTCGAACCTGTCGACTTCCATCGGGTCAGCGACATAGGGAAAGACGCAAGATTATGAAAAAGCAGGGGCAGGATCAGGCGACCGACGGAGGCAGAGGGCGGGATGGAATAGCACGCAAGAACAGCCTCTAGGAACTCCTGGGCGGTCCTGACTGACCTAAAACGGGGACGCTCAGACAGGGGGAGGGCATGACTGATTGCGAGCTGTGCGACAGTGTCACGCGACAACCAGACTGCACGGGCAAGGGCAGCAGCGGCAGCGGACTCACGGTCAGCAGACGTGGGGTCAGGGGAGAGCAGCAGGGGGTTCAGGGAAGGGGAGCGTATTGTCGATGTGGATGGCCAAGGAGTAGCCGTCCTGCCGCTGACCAGAGGGGTGACGGCGGAGGTCGACGAGCCACGTGTCGAACTCGACCGGCTGACCCTCCGCGTCAAAGCGCAGCACCGAGTTCGCCATCAGGGTCGATGCAGCGGCAGAGAGGCGGTAGGCGGGAACCTGTGGGGTGCAGTGCAGTGCAGTGCACAGCAGGGCGGTGCAATGTGGTGTGGTGCGGTGCAGTGCGGTGGAGGGCGGTGAAGTGCGGTGCATGGCGGTGCACTGCGGTGCAGGGCAGTGCAGGACCGCAGGGGCCGGCTGTGCGACAGGGCCAGGTGGGCGACGGGGCCAGCTGGGGGAAGGGGCCGGCGTGGCGACAAGGTCAGCTGGGCGATGGGGCCGGGCGGGCGACGGGGCCGGGCAAGTGGCGTGGCCGGCTGTGCGGAACGGGCCAGCGCGGGCCAGCTACGGGACGGCTATGGGCCGGGCTAAGGGACGGGTCGGCAGCTCTTCCTCCTCGTTTTTGGCCTTATGCAATGGACCACGCCGTGCTGTTACACAACCTGCTGTCTTCCGCGTCACTGCTCGAGTTTTCTTCACCTCACCTGCAGTGGACACGAACCATGGGAAGTACAAAACTCTTACGCATTTTTGGGTGTGTCGTGCAGTTTCGACCTCCAACTGCAGCACTCGGCAAATTTTCCGAACGAGCAAAATGGGGGTATACCTCGGCATCGAAAAACAGCATCACGCATGGAAGATTTTGGATCTTTGTTCCAACCAAATCGTCCCTTCACGTGATTGTCTCTTCTATGAGCGAATCACCTTGCCCGTTTTTCGTGCCCACCAGGCAGCGGCTGCCAACCCCGCCAGGCTGTTCGAAGGTTCGCGTGCATTTGCAACCGACGAAGCCGAAGCTGATGTACAACACGACGCAGTTTTTGAAGCCTCCGAAGCTGCCGCAACAGACATTCCCGAACCTGTCACGTCGTCTGGCGTCCCGGAATTTATTCCCCTCACTGACGCTGACCCGAATGACGTTCGCGTAGTCCACCTCAGTTATGAATGCGATCGTCAACAGCAGCAGATGCCAACCGTCTCCGACGAAGCAGTCCGTGTTACACTTGACGAAATTGGGGGGGAAGAAGGACCAGAAGAAAATTTCGCAGGTGCAAACGGAGAACGTCCGCGTTTTACAGAAACTGGTTTACAGATTCCTGGATTTTCAGTCGCAGTACAGTACAACGACAGTAAGATACCTGAACCAAAAACAGTACGACAAGCTCTTACGAGTCCCACCGAGAAAAGTGGCGCGAAGCCATGGAAAGAGAGCTAGCAGCTCTCAAGAGTCGCGGCACATGGGAGTTAATACCGACATCAGAAGTAAAAGGAAGAAAGGTACTTACCGGAAAGTGGGTCTTCCGTGTCAAGACTAATGCAGATGGGACGTTAGAAAAAATCAAGGTGCGATGGGTCGTCCGCGGGTTCGAGCAGACTTATGCCATCGACTACGAGCTGACATTTGCTCCCGTCGGTCGACATGCGAGCATTCGGATTTTACTCTGTAATGCCGCCTGCCGCAATCTACGACTTCGACAAATCGACGTGGCAAACACATTTCTCTACGCACCCGTCGACGCACTCATTTTGGTAGAGTACCACACTCGTACACTACTAACCCACCGAGCATGTGTCTTCTCATAAAATCGCTCTACGGTATTAAACAGCTACCCCGCCTCTGGCAGCAGTATCTGCATTCACAACTACTTACCTCTGGATTTCGTCAACTACCGCATGATCAAGGAATGTATCTTCTAACCGACGGCAACAACTATATTTTACTCGTCGCCTACGTCGATGATATTCTCTACGTTAGTACGACTGAATCGCTCGCCAACACCTTCATACTGAAATTATAGAAAAATCTACAACTTACCGTATTCAAAACATTCTCACAGTTTCTCGGTCTAAACATAACCTGCTCACCGACGTCTATTCACCTCACCGCGTCGAAGTACGTAGCGACACTTGCTGCCCGCTTCAACCTTACTCCTACTGCAGTCTCTACACCGTACCGCTCGCTACCGACTGACTACAAATTGAATACTGCACCATTTAGTCTAACCAGTTTATTGATTTTTCAACAGCGGTTAGGCTGATTACTCTTCGCCGCCGTTATTTGCCGTCCAGATCTAGCCTATGCGGCTAGTCAACTCGCTCAGTTCCTACGCCATCCTGAAGAGGAGCATCAACTCGATCTTCTCCGCGCGCTTCAGTATTTTATATCGACACCTGACGTCGGTTTAGTCTACAACGTCGTCGGTTGTAAAACATTACCCATACGGTTTCGTCGACACCGATCACTCTGCTGACTTTACTAATCGACGATCGCGTACTGGATTCATCTACCGCCTTGAACCTATCAGGCCTATTTCTTGGAATTCGACGAAGTAGGAGCTGATTGCTCTCTCTTCTGCTGAAGCTGAATTTATCGCTGTCTGCACCGCAACACGCGAAGGACTTTACCTACTGGAACTCTTGGAAGAAGCGAAGTTGACAACGAGTACTCAGTTTACTCAGCAGTGCGACAACCAAAGTGCAATTCGCATCGCGCACCAACCTGGCTTCGTCAACAGGGCGAAACGTATTTCACTGCGTTACTTTTTCGTCAAGGATGAAGTCGAGAAGGGGAGAATGCGATTGGTCTATTGTTCGACCAACGAAATGGCTGCCGACTTCCTCACGAAGAAGCTGACACGACAGAAGTTTCAGTATTGTAACAAGCTTTGCGGAATCTTCAAGAAGTGACACTATCGAACTTCCAGAAATGAAGGGGAGCGTTGTTATATAATTCATACTTAGCATTTCTGTAAGTCATTTATCGATAGATAGTGTCGAATCCTACTGTAGAAGATAAGTCCGTAGGATGGCGTCAGCAAATAGCCCTCGTCATGAGGACAGTCGTTTCAGTCACGCGAACAGTTGCATCTCTTCGTTATCATTTAGGGCGCATAGCGCGATAGTGAACAAGTACATTAGCGAACAGGTACTTTCCTAGAACTATAAATCCTTGTTATGCCTTTCCATTATTAACTTTGATTATCCACAAGTTTATGTGCTCAGATTATTCAAGCTTGACTATCATTCTTTTACAAGACTTCCGCTGTCTTACTAGTGTACCATTGCAGTAAAGATCCTAGGCTAACACTTTAGGTTTCCAAGTGTTCATGTTTGCAGATTCTATACTTAGTCTCCTGCAACACCTGTCAAATTATTTCACCCTTGAGGTCCCAGATCCGATTCGGGTAACAGCACACGACTCTGGTAACTGCCTACGCTGTATTACAGTGTCAGCTATTTGTCTTTGCTGTCGTGACAGACCCTTGAACTTCTGTTTGTTCGAGTGCCGATCAACGACCAACGACTGTTGCAATTCGTGGCTCCGGCTCGACAAGGGTTAGGGCTCGAGTGTCACTTTCAGGAATGCAAGTTATTCCTTATCGTAAAGAACAAGGCAATAGTATTAGATATTTATGGTCAAGGGGAAGGGAGCAGGGCTCCTGCTAGTTTTTAGGGCAGTCTGAAAATCAGACGGGTACTTAGAGCTTCGTCTGACCGTCAGACGGATTTGTTTTGCCTGTCTTACGATTCAGACGAAATGCAAGCACGTGTCTGAGAATTCAGACTGTTTATGTGCGCTGGACTGTATTGCTGCCGCGCTCGGGGTAGAATTGAATGTCAACTTATACATATTATCTATGTAGAAGTTATAGGCTAGACTGAGGTATGCTTCTAGTGAGTACAACCAACTAGTATTTGTTCTAGGTTTCCACCTCTAGTCATTATTCGTTCTCACTTTAACATGGTATCACGCGTAGGTTAGCATCCCCCACCTACCGCTTCCGCCCGTACCCTAGCTAGGCCACGTCGCGCCTCCTAGCCCCGTCGCGCCTCCTAGCCACGTCGCCCCACCTCCTGGCCCCGTCGCGCCCGCTCGGCCCAGTCGCGCCCTGCCTGGCCCCGTCGCGCCCGCCTGGCCCCGTCGCGCCCGCGTGGCCCCGTCGCGCCCTGCCTAGCCCCGTCGCGCCCTGCCTGGCCCCGTCGCGCCCTTGGCCCCGTCGCGCCCTACCTGGCTCCGTCGCGCCCGCCTGGCCCCGTCGCGCCCTGCCTAGCCCGTCGCGCCCTGCCTGGCCCCGTCACGCCTGCCTGGCCCCGCGCGCCTCCTGGCCCTGCCGCCTGCCTGGCCCGCCGCGCCTGCCTGGCCCCGTCGCGCCCTGCCTGGCCCTGTCGCGCCTGCCTCGCCCCGTCGCGCCTGCCTGGCCCCGCCGCACCTGCCTGGCCCGCCGCTTGGCCCCGCCTTGGCCCCGTCGCGCCCTGCCTGGCTCCGTCGCGCCGCCTGGCCCCGTCGCGCCCTGCCTAGCCCGTCGCGCCTGCCTGGCCCTGTCACGCCTGCCTGGCCCGCCGCGCCTCCCTGGCCCTGCCGCGCCTGCCTGGCCCCGCGCGCTTGCCTGGCCCGTCGCGCCCTGCCTGGCCCCGTCGCGCCTGCCTGACCCGTCGCGCCTGCCTGGCCCCGCCGCACCTGCCTGGCCCTGCCGCGCCTGCCTGGCCCCGCCGCGCCTCCTGGCCCCGCCGCGCCTGCCTGGCCCGCCGCGCCTCCCTGGCCCCGCCGCGCCTGCCTGGCCCCGCGCGCCTGCCTGGCCCTGCCGCGCCTGCCGGCCCCGCCGCGCCTGCCTGGCCCCGCCGCGCCTGCCTGGCCCCGCCGTGCCTTCCTGGCCTCGCCAGCACCTGCCTGGCCCCACCGCACCTGCCTGACCCCTTCGCCCCGGCTCGTCCTGCCGTGCCGCCTCGGGCTCCGTCTCCTCTGCTCGCCCGTGCTGAGGCGCTTCGCGGCCGCCGTGCTGGGAGGGGGCTGTCGCTGTGTTCCTGTGGAGCTGTGCCGCTGACCCTGCACGATGGCGGACTTCGTGCTCCGACTGGACGCGGAGGGCCATGCGGTTGACTTCGCTGCCTGGCTCTCCGATCTCCGCCGCCACCTTACAGGTCAGCCCAGGATGGCCACTCTTTGGTTGTCCATGTCGACGGCTTGCTCCCCCGTCCCCCCGCACCTGCTCCCTCCCTGCTGCATCCCTCCTCTGATGACCGTGAGACCTTCTCTACTGCTGCGCTTGCCCGTGCGGTCTGGGACTCCCGCGATGCAGTCGCTCAGGTTGCCATTAGCCACGCCCTCCCTGTCTCTGAGCGCTCGCGTTTTGCTACTATTGAGACGGCCAAAGCTTACTTAGACACTGCTATTGCCCGCTATTCCACACCCGCGTCTGCTTCTGCTGGTCGCCTGCTCTTCCCTATGCTTTTCCCAGACCTTGCAGCTTTCCCTACCGTCGCAGACTTTGCCACTCACCTGCGTGCCCTAGAGACCCGCTATTGCACTGCCAGCACTGCTGCCCCAGCTCACTGCGCTCCCCCCCCCTTTCTGCATGACGCTCTATTTTATCGCCATGCGCCTGCCAGACCGCCTCGCTAGTGCTCGCGATCACTTTCTTAGCCAGCACCCGGGTGACCTCACTCTCACTGCCTTTGTCGACACCCTCACCGAGATCGAGACTCGCCAGCGCACTATCGCTCAGTCGAGCGGTGCGCCGGCAGTTTCTATCTTTCACGGTTGTGCCCCCGCCCAGTGTGCGTTCACTGACGTTTCGGCTGCGGTCGCCTCGGCGGCCCCTCTCACCGAGTCGGCTGGTGCTGGTCC